GTCAACCGATTGTAATGACTAAGAACAAAGGAAATGGAGGCAGGATAGGGATTGGCAATGGGAACAACAAATATCATGCTGGTATGGTTTCTGCAGATTCAGGGAAGGGTGGAGAACACTCTAATTTAGCTATGGGGAAAGGCCCAAGAAATAAATGGCACCTGTAGGTTTTTAAGCAAAGTGCTCTCTTGAAACAGAGTGAATAAGAACAAGCAATCAAAATATGCTTTTAAAAACTCTAAAAAAAAGTTCCTGTGTCCATTATCATGTGATTAGCAGCAAGAAACCAATGAATTGGTCATTCTTCTCCCTCCTCCAACCAGTTAATCAGCTTAGCGGATAGGGGCTTGATTGCCAATGTCCAGTAATGGCAGTCAGGAACTAGCAGTCTGTTTCCCACAAGCTATCTGCTGCTGGCTGAACACTGTGGATCACAAGGTCTGAGCACTGTATGAAGCCCATGTGCCCAGCCATCCATCTACCCAAACCCGGACGCCCTTCAGTTGTGTGGACTTTGATCCCTAGACTTCTCAGGGGAAGCTCAAGTGGAAGTCCACACCCAGAAAATACCAAGGTTGGGAAAGATTGCACCACACACACAATCGAGACAGATTGCCAGAGGAGATGTAGGCATCTCTGGAATCATGACAGCACTGATCATCTGAAGCATTTATATCCAAATTGGGAATGATAAATGCCTTCTAATCTGTTTACATGCATATGTGAAAATTGCAGAAAACAGTTTACAAGTGTCACTAACTTCAGATCTGTTAAAATAAACACCATCTCACTACCTAAATTACTGATGGTTACCACCGAGAGTCCTATTTGATAATTCAACCAGCAAAGTTAAAAGTTGCATTAGAATGGCTCCCGAGCCTGCCTTTTTCAACAACTTCTCATTCCTTCACAGAGATGTTATTTACTGTACGCCCATGAAGCTACATTTGAAATGCACATTTTCAAAAAGTCAATGCCACTATTATTTTTTACCAGTTCATCTGTGATTTAAGTAATTCCAGCTTAGCTCCTGTTGAAGCCAGGAAATCTGGGACTTCTGATAGTTTAACACAACTCAGTTATTTTTTTCTGCTTTGGATCATGGGTTGGAACCAGTGAATAGTCTTATTAATTATAAGATAGCATCATTCACAACATGTAAGTGCTAGGATCCATGAATTCCATAACTATGGTAGAGGTTTTCACAGTTTTTCAGGCTACAGAGCCTGTTACATAAAAAAATATTCTCTGAACCCCTGATCAAGAGGCAAAACTCTAGAGGCAAAGCTCTAGTAATGAAAAACTGGATGTATTCAAGTGAACTTTTTGTTAGGGTCTCAAGGAATCCCATCATATTCTCCTGGAATCTTAAGGTTCCCTGGAACACAGTTTGAACAACCCTGAACTAGAACACTTAATGGCAAATTTGGAACATGTCCTGCTTAATAAAATATCCTGAAAGGAGGCAGTCATTATGATCATTTGTATCATCTGGCAGAGCTGAAAATGATTTGGGGTCATTTATCAAATGGGTCATTTCCCCATATTTGGGGAAACATTTGGTGCTCCCAAGTCAAGCAAAAGTGTCAGAAAACAGGAAGATGCATTCCTCTTACTATTACATTGATTCAAACATTGCTGTACATTATTTCTAGGTTCCTTTTTCTCATTAATTCATGCTATAAGGTAATCCAGATCTCAGAAGTAATTAAAAAAACACACTGTTATATGGAAAGAGAGCCAATTATTGGGTAGTGGTTAAGGCATCAGGCTAGAAACCAAGAGACAGTGAGTTCTAGTCCCTCATTTGGCACAAAGCCACCTGGGGGACCTTGGGCCAGTCCCTCTCCCTCAGCCCGGGGAAGGATGCAATGGCAAATGCTCCCGACATCTTGCCAAGGAAACTGCAGGGACTGGGCCAGGCAGTCGCCAGGAGTCAACACTGACTTGAAGGCAATACACACACACTCAGGATTTATACCTTTGATAAATTAGAAGATGATTTTTTTTTATCCTTTTCTGTTTTAAACCACAAATATAATTTGCCTAGTATGGGTCACTTTCAGTACTGACAGTTATAATGGCTACTAACATCCTAATTTGGATCTGTGGCATTTTCAACCTCAGGAACACTTAACCTACCACAAGCGATTATTAATGTGATTCAACCCCCCCTCCTCAATTTCTCTTTATAAAATTCTGCTAACGATTAATCAATTTGTTATGCAAGCTTTAATGTTTGAATGGAATAAAGAATTAGAGACTCCTATTTTGCTCAGACAATGGGAAGAGGTGTTAACATTAATGCCAAACATTTCAGTAGATCTTAGATTATGTCTTATTCAACAAAAAATATATATTTCAGACAAAAATAATGCAAAAAGGGTAAGGAGTAATAAGCAAAAGAAATTGGAGGCACAAGATAAGAAAAAAGAAAAGGAAATCTTCCATCTAGTTCATATGTACAACATTCACTACAGTTGTCCATATCTTTCTAATCTTCCAAACCATCCTTGATTCCATCACATCCATACACTAATTCATACATTGCCTCTGTCTCTCTTTTTAAATTACCTCTCTCTCTTTTTAGGATCTCATCAATTCCATCTAACCACAAATTTCTGTTGGTCTTCCTCTCAACCCATTTATTCTTCCTTTGTATATTCATTTTCCAATTAATCCCTCATTCATTCTTTCTATTTGACCAAACCACTACAATCTACTTCTTTCATACTGGTCACTCCCTTTTCTATTGAGTCCACACATTCACTCATCATATCTTTAACCCTTTCTCTTCTTGTTTACCACACACACTTCTTAAGTAAACCATTCCCACTGCAAGAAAATTACACGTATGTTTCTCCTGGCATATACTTTCCAGTAAACAAAGTGGGAAGAAAGACATTCCTTATACATAGCTGTTTTTGCTTCTTTCAACAAACATTAATTCCTTGAAACAGACCTTATACTGGGGGTTACAGTTAATAGGTAAAAAAGAGAATGCATTGGCCAGATTTACACATCACACTTAGTACAAAAACCAATAAACTCCATTATAGCTTGGTGTACTGTGTGAACAACTGTAGTATGTGATCCATAGTTTGTGACTATTATGGCTTGACAACAAATGACTAAGCAAAACTACTGCTTGGTGAAATAATTCTCAAAGTTTGTAATGTTGCAACTTCCAAAAATAATAACTGAATTTGTGTCTCTCCCCCTCTCCCCAGTAATAAGCCAATTTCATCTCCCGATTTCATCTGCTCGTCCCACTAGATCTAGCAGAGAGGGTATGTCATGGGTTCTGTCATCTAGGGAGCTACATTTGGTGGGCCCTAAGCGGTGGGTCTTTTCTGCTGTGGCTCCTGCATTGTGGAAGCTTCTTCCCCCAGAGATGAGATCAGCCTCATCACTCCAGAGTTTTCGAAGGTCCCTCAAGACCTGGTTATGTCAGCAGGCCTGGGAACCCCAGGGGACAGGAGAGCTAGTGAGGTGGCTCTATTATTAACATCCCTTTACCTACTATTTTCCTTTTCTGTTTTAGTTCTGTTTTTATAGTTTTTAATGTTTTTAATAATTACTATATAATGGTTTTATGTATGATTGTTTATATATTTATTGTTTTACTGGACTGTCGTACACCGCCCAGAGTAATTTTTTGTGAGATCGGCGGCCATATAAATTTGATAAATAAATAAATAAATAAATAAATAAATAAATAAATAAAAACCTGAATTCTTTCAACAATGTGGCTGTTTTGAGTACTTCGAAATTCAAAAATGTTGTGTAGTTTTGCCTTACATAATCTGATACAACCTATTTCTGCGTGAATAAAAGGGACTGTCCATTTGCTTTTTCAAATTTCTACAATTTAGCAAAGCTTGCCACTTCTTCTTTGCTTCCAAACTAGGACCACTGTTCTTAAAAACTTATCCTCTGAATAGGTTTCGTAGCATTAGACTGATGGTTTGAACTTAATATGATGTGACTTATCCATGAATCAGATCTAAAGAATCTCTTTAAGCAGTCAATAACTTTGGTGACGATGGGGAGCCTGAACAGTAGTGATAACTGCAGTGGACCCCGTTGGGTGCTAGAAGTGTGTGAACTTGTTGGCCAACCATATTCTCAAAGGAGAAAAACCACATGTAATTTTCCAAGCAAGTGATTATGAAGTTTCTATTTTGCTTTGAAGGGCAATGCAGACCAGTGCCTTTATAATATCCACTGTTAGTTTTTGTCCCAAAAACACACATGAACACACACACACAAACACAAGGGTGATCCCCTCTCCCCCTGCATTAGGGTTCTAACTTGAATTGGCAGTGGAAGTACAACTACTACTGGCACGTTTGAAAAAGTAGGAGACCTACACAATTAAGCCACTCTAGACATATTGAAACTGGTATACAATGAAGAATTTAAGCTTTAGTAGTTTATTATGATTAAGGTTGATAATTACAATGATGGTTTGGGTCTATAATAAGGAAACTCAATCAATACATACTGTGATTCATATATTAGAAGAACAACTAAGAGCCTTGTGCTGTCTTAAAATCTAATCAATATTTTATAGATCAAGCCTTAGTGAATTGCAGTTCACTTATTTGGGTTCATGGAATATTATCCTTCCTGAAATGCTGTAGGAATAGCTACCGAATACTCACATGGTAGTATTATTTCAGAATACTCCATGTATCTTATGCCACCGAATACATAAAGCTTCTACTCTGATAAATTCGCTAGACTTTAAAGGTGCCATAAAGGAATGGCAGATTTGGCTGCAATAGAATAACATAGCACATAGTAAAACCACCCTAGAAATTGAAGACAGGAATAAAGAACATTCTGTGTATACTCTTCAAATATATTGTGACTTTTAAAATTTTACCTGGGCCAATACTTGTCTCACATATGCAGATCTAGAATAATAAATATTTGTCTACTTCAAATTTCTTCTGAGTAGAACGGTATATATTTTTCAAAACATGCAAACTTACCATTATCTTGACTTTTCACCTTGCCGCCTAAGGAGAAGGAGAAGGAGAAGAGCATTAAATAATGGGCATGAGGAAACATGTATTAATTTTTCCAAATACAGATGCCCCATCCAGAACTTACAAAATAAGAGGATCGACAGCAAAATGCAATACATCTCGTAATTGGAAAGCGGACATGAAACTCCAGTATAAAGAAATGTTCATGAGTTCCAGTAATTCTCTCCTTTAAGGACTTTATCTTTTCTTAAAAAAAAAACTCCAGCAGCACAAAGTCCCAGTGGAAGATAATGGGGCAGATGTGTTTTCAGCACCCAAGTACTACAAACTGGCAAGATATTGGTCAAGTATTCATTCCCGATACTGGAACTGGAAGTAGCAAACAATTAAAGTCTGTCTCTTGCAAACAGACAGGAAATGACTGGTGTTTCCGTAGAGCTTTTGTTAACACGTTTGCTTTGTCCAGTTTTCTTAAGGTACACTGAAAACAAGAAATCCTAGTGATATTTTTCCAGTGATCCCAGTTATTTTAAAATAATTTTGAATAGTTACTTTAACGTGTACAAAACTCATTTTAAGTGTGCTTTCACAGAGCCAGCCATACATACTTATGGCCAGTTTTATATAGGTAGCAAGTTTTCACTAATGATGTTAAGTGCCTACTTTTCTTTCTCTTTTTTAATGGTGAAGTTGTTGAGTAATTGTACCTAGAACACAGCATCCCTTTTTCGTACAAATAAAGGATTTCTAGGTATTGGTGCCTGTACTGGAAGATTTGCATTGTTTGCAGTGCTGGTATTTGCTCTGGTTGTGGTTGTGGTATTAGCCATGAAAGCTTGAAATGGTTAGGGCCTGCCTGCCGGTCTAAGGGCCTGTCTGTCTAGTTATGAAACTGTCCGGTGGTTCAGATTTGCAGGAGAGTCAAAATTTCATTTTGCTGCTCCTATTGAGTCACAATGAGTACTAAAAAAAGAGAATAAAGTAAAATCAAATAGCAGATTCTTAGCAAGCAGAAGGATGTTGGAATAACAATGTCTTTGCCAGTTAACACCCACTTATTGCATGACTGTTATAAAACATCTCAGCTCTTCTCCATCTGAGAATAGCAAGTGTGCTGTTTCTAAGAACTCAGGCATACGGATGCTTAAATATGCAATCAACATTAGAGAGACTTAGACTTAGGGTGGTTGCACACCATTGTCCCATTCCAGTAGTGGTGATTTACATATTAAAAGGAGGTTTTACAAGCAAAAAAGGTTGTCTCCAAACGCCTAGAGCCTTCTACATCTGTTGACCTTCAACTCTCATGATTTCCACTGCCTGTGCTGACCGAGAGCTGTGGAGATTGATTTAAGTCCAAAACACATGAAGGCCCTTGTTTAGGCAAGGTTGTTATAGTGAGATCCTACAACTCTCCCCTTCCTGTCCTTGGTGTACGTTTGTGAACTGCAATAATGACTGTGGAACGTTTGGTTTAAACGAGGATCCATATCAGTGGAAAGGGAAACAGAGATTCCATCTGTGGCCCATGACAGAAGAATTCATAGGATTTTGAACTTTTTAAGCAAGCGAAATCCCAGGATCTTTCCTTTGTGAGTGTTTCCCTTCGCCCTCTCCCACACCCAATACATAGCCTGAATCAGAACCTGTTTGTTTTAGCTGAGGTCACTTTTTCCACAGGCTCTCTGCTGATGAGCATCTGTGTGCTGTCATTCCTTAGCTACTCAACCGCCATTTGTGAACGTTCGGTGTCCAAAACTCATTTTACTTTAAAGAAATAAAAAGAACGACATTTTTAAAAATGGAATAGAAATATTGTTAGAAGAAAATGCAGAGAAGAAAGGAAATTAAATGCCTGCTCTAGAACATTTTGAATCTGGTGTAAGTGTGCTCCCATACAACAGATATACTTGAACTGCTGTTGGTTTTGTTCTGGATCTGTGCGTTAAAGTATTTAAAGTAATGAAAATTCCCCCCCCCCTTTAAAATTCAATGTTCATATAAAGGAAATACTTTAATGAAGCCAACTGAAAGTTTGCAAAATGCCAGCTTTAGCACTTTGGAAAGTAGCCAATAAAGAAGCCTGGAAATTTGGCTGGTAAATTTGGAGTAGGAATGGGAAGAATCCCAGAGGATTAACTGTACAAGACCTTCTCAGTGGTGGCTCCTGCACTGTTGAAGGATATCCCCCAGGAAATTCATACCACTTCCACCCTTTTTGACTTGCAGCAAACTTTTTCTTTGGCATACTTTGTTTTCTTTCAATTTTTTTATATCTATGCCATCCAGAGTTGCTAATGGTGTCCTCAAAAATGAATGAATGAATGAATGAATGAATGAATGAATGAATGAATGAATGAATGAAATCTTGGAAGGTGTCACTCCTTGCTTATAGCATAATCTGTTGCTCAGAGGTTTGTAAATGGAACATCAAAGAATCAGAGGCTTAACAGACTTATAATAACAGAAGCTTTAGCACACTTTAGGGAGGATAATATAGAAAACCAGTTTGGTGGTGAAGGCACCAGGCTAGAAACTGGGAGAGCATGAGTTCTAGTCCTGCCTTAAGCACAAAGCCAGCTGCGTGATTTTAGGCCAGTCACTCCTTCTCAGCCTCCAGAAAAGGCAAACCACTTCTAAAATGTTCCCAAGAAAACTGCAGGGACTTGTCTATGTAGCTGCCTGGAGTCCAGATGGCACAAAAGAAAATAAAAACAAAAAACAGGGAGACAAGTTGGTGAAATGTATAAGGACTTCTTGAACTCTTTGCAGGAATTAGTTTCAAGAGATGACAATGTTGGGGCTTTAAGTTTAAAAATCAGTAAAGACTCCCTTAAATCAAACTCAAAACCTGGTGACTTTATGACCATGGCTATGTTATTTTCTTGGCAACAGTATGGAAATAGTTTGCCCCTGCTTTCTTTCAAGATGTTTTTTTCAACTTCCTAGATTAAGGTCAGAGTCCTGAGATTTCCTGGAATCTCCTATCCGGATAATAACCAATCTGATTCTACTTACCCTTCTGAGATCAGCCAAGATTGGCTTTAAGTATAATATTACACGCCTTATCTCATTATATTGTTGTTGTTATACTATCATCCTTACTTTTCCTCCCTACTTTTTTGATCATCTTATAGGGATAAATTGCTTTGGATAAGCTGGGAATGGGAACCTGGGGGTATGTTGCTTGGAATACATTTGCCAGTTTCTGGCATCCTCCAGAAGTTTTGGACTACATCTCCCACACAATCTACAGCAACTGGCCATGCAGACTGAAGTAGGGATGTTTGAAAACACCAAGCTGTCTACTTCATACAACTGGATACAAAATAATGTAAACCTTCAACAACAGTGGAGTGCTGTTTGTCATGATGCTGGCCTGATCCCCTCCATGCTTGCTTGTATATTTCAAAACAAACATATATTACAGAATACAGTACCATAACCCCACAATAACCTCTTGACAACCAAACTGACCCTATAAATAACTTTTCCTGAACCTTCCTACTATTTTTGTGGAAATGAGAAAAATCAAAACATCTTTGCATACATCTGAAAGCGGCTGAGTTTATTGCCCTCCAGTAGACTTGTGGAACCCTCCACTTGCGTTCACAGCAGCCATTCAGACAACAACATTATCTTCCAGTCCTCAAATGACAGTGACTGTACTTTTTAGAAAAGCCAGGTAAGTTGTAAGCTCCCCTTGGTCATACTTCTACTACTGAGGAAAGCAGAAATTATGAGCGTCTCCCTTTTCAGAGTTATTAAAAGGCTGCGTGTGGAGAGACTTCATATGATGGTCCTATCAAAGCCACCACAGTGACATCAGACCAAGTGGAAATGGAGTGCAACGCAATTAAATTCATTCATCCCACTTCTGAATGGGGAGGAGTTGGCTACAAAGGGACAACACTGACCCAGGGAATTCAATGACAAAAAATTGACTGGTATTTTAGAATATATTTGTATTTACTGCTGTCTCATTAGTTTCTCGAGGTTTTTTGAAACCTGAAGAGGTCCCCAATGCTCTAAGCTCACTTTACCTCCTCAGTCTTACCCCCAAAGTGTTAGCTTTTTTCCAGAGGAACTTCTTAATCATTCATCCACAGAGAAAGCTGCTTGTCCTACATGCCCTATTATTTGTGTTAGTACTGGACTTTAGGCTGCTTCAGAGTGTTTGCAAATCTAATCTAATCCCTGAGAACCTGTAGAGGGAAAACCTCTAGCAAGAAATTACTTCACAAAATTGGCTAACTATCAATTAACTTGAATGTGTTTTTACAATACCTTTACCAACCTATTAATTTTCTTTACTATAAAAGCAATAGTCTGAGTAGAATGGCTTGAAGACCGATTTGATTGGAGAGAAAGTTATGTAGATTTGCTGTTAATGGCCTAAAATTAAGCCCTAGAAAGGTGTATTAAGCCAGCCCTTAATTAAGTTGGGTTCATCTCCTATGGAATATACTTGCCATCTCAGACTATCTCCAGCACTAACTTGTAGTTCTTCCCAGGATGTTCCAGGGATCTCTTTTATCCCATCCCTTATCTTAGTGTCTTCCTCTTCTTCAACTTCCCTCAACCTTGCCAAGCATCACAATTTTTTTTTCCTAATCCACATGTGAGTCAATGCCCAAAGTATGTGAGTTTTTATTTTACTAGTCATTGCCTCTGAGGAGCAATCAAGCTTTATTTGGTCCAGGGCTGATTGACTGGTTTTTTTTCTGCAGTCTATGGTATTCTTCATAATCATTTCCAAATCCACTATTCCTCTCCCTCAATTTCTAGTGCCCAGCTTTCACAGTACTACTGGAATTAGTAGCATTTGGGAATGGTGGAGGGGTGTCTTCGAGTCCGTGTTGACTCCTGATGACTGCCTGGACTGGTCCCTGCAGTTTTTTTGGCAAGGTTTCAGAAGGGGTTTGCCATTGCCTCTTTCCTAGGGCAGAGATAGATTGACTAGCCCAAGGTTACCCAGCTGGCTTTGTGCCTAAGGCAGGACTAGAACTCACAGTCTCTTGCTCTCTAGCCTGGTGCCTTAACCACTACACCAAACTGGCTCTATTGGGAAAAAAGAAAAAAAGTGGATAAAGCACCCAAAAATTGGACTTGCCCACTCTGGTGGCATAATCACTACCATGCCCCCAGCTCCCAAAGGATGATGTAAAAAGGGGGCACCCGGGGTGTGTATGTAAAAATTGACTATCCTTGTCTTAAAATCAAAGGCGGGGGGGGGGGGAAAAAAAAAA